TCGAACGCATCGAGAAAGTATATCTGTAAATCAGAGACATGGGTCATGGTTTGACTTTGCGAATTTCAATGATGAAGAAGAAGATAGTCAAGATAATAAAATTGATGCCAGCTTATCAGATTCAGCCATTCTAAGAGATGGAGCGTCTTCCGAACTGCTAGCTCAAGCAAGATAAGGTCAGAAACAAGTGATAAACAAGGAAACACCAGCCAAGGAGCCTCTGGTGCTACTACAAAAACTGGTAAATACCAGTCTGGAATGAATGCTTTATCTAAAGCAAAAAGTAGTAGTACATCACAATTAAGTGTTACCGGTCAGTATCTAAACAACTACTACAGGACGATAATTTTCAAAACATTTAATCAAATTATTATTTTGTAATTACAACACAGGCACCAAGAAGAGACTTGGATTCCGTCGGAAACAGGCGACATCATTTAGTGTTCATAGATCAGAAGAAGTTGCCCCTGATGATATTCGGCATTTAGTTAAACAAGGAAGTAGTATTTCATCTGATGGCGAAGGTAGTCTTAGCGGTGAAAGTTCAGCTACGTAAGTGATCAACAAAATTTCATTTCAATCAACCATCATCAATCAATCAATCAATTTCTATTCTTGGACAGAATTACTGATAGATTTTGCAAAATCCGATGAAACAATTGAAAGATAAATAAAAAGGCCATTGACCGATTGAATTTATTACTAACAATTTGTACAACTCTTAACACAATTAGTTGTCGCACTGACCCTAAGTTGAAATGCTGTTAATCACAAGACAATCTATTAGCTAGAGATTAAATGACTTGGGACTGTTCAACTTGGGAACACATTAATTTGAAATGATTCGTCAAGATCACCCAAATATCATTCGCAAATTTTAACTGATCGTTGAATCACAAATAAATGTAACCATTACATTGTACTAGAAATAAATTGTTATTGGTGCAAACACCGAGATTTAAATTTCCTTTTCGACTTTCTTTACGTTTGGTCAACAATTTCAAGCAAAAACTTGGTTATGATTTTGAAATTTTTGATATTATACAGTATTATGTAGTTCAGTAAACATACAGATGCTGTAAATAAAGGATGTTTATCAATCGATCCGTTCCAAAACTATTGAGTTGGAAAGAAGGTGAAGGATAAAATGTCTTTGTTTGTCTCATCATCATTATCACCGTCAGCCTAATCATAGTCGAATGAAATACTAATCTAAGAAAATTAAAATGCTAATATAAGTGAGAATAGCGAAGATTATTTGACTCTTTAAAAGTTGAAAATCAAGTTTGATGAGGATGGAGATTTGGATGAAGCTACATCTTATCATATTTTACCCTTACTAAATAATCATCATCAGCATTATTTTATTGCTATTACCATCTTGGGTCAACCGCTATTTTTGTATTAAAAAACGACTTTGGCCTCAAGTCACTCTGATGACTTGGAGTTAAAAAACACTCGGATTTAAATTCAACTCACAAAATATAAAAGCAATGAATGACTGAGAAATATTTTTTCCTATTGGTCCATAATAACTTCAATCGAAGCAAGATCTTATCATAAGTAACCCACCAACTGGAGCTAGAAACCAGCTTAACTAGAGTTTTGTTAATTATTGTTATGAATAATATTGAAATTGATAACTTTAATTTTTCTACACATTGTACATTTTAAATTTGTGTTTGATTTTCATCATCTTCATGCTTAGACCATCCAAAATCAACTTTTGATTTATTCACATCTCTTGATTTGACTTTAGTGTACACATAAGGGCAGATAAAACCAGCGAAAAGGCCGCTAAATAAGAACATCATAATTATACCAACAACTCCTCCACCACTGAATCCAGAAATTCTGCTTTTCTGAATATTATCGGAAAGTGCATCTGCTTTTGATTTGACGGATAATTCAAAGTTATGACAAATGGATGATTCCACTGATTCCGTCTTGGGATCTTTAATTGAATGTGAAGTTATTTGACATTGAGCGGGTGCTTTCCCTTTAGGACAGAAGTTGAATGATTTACCATGATTGATCATCATCACAAATAGCTGCACATTGATCCCAAATCTAAATCAACTTCTGTGTATAAGACTTGACTTACAAGCTTCGTTCCAGTTACTTTGTATTTTTCAGAGCTTTTGACTGTAAGAAAAATAAAAGAAAATGTTGAATCAAGTTTTTAAATTTCCATCAGTTGATAACCTGTGTGGAGGAATTATGGGACTTTTTGTTAATGTATTTGTAAAGTACGACGCTCCATAATTTATCCACACAGGTTTGATTTGTTTAGATAAGTACTTACTAGTATAAATAAAACAGCCGTAATAAAATTCTGTATCTTCTGAGGTCACATTATCACCAAAAGAACACTTTCCACCCCAACAATGTTCAAATGAATCACAATCGTTGGAAGCATAGCATTTCGCAGCACAATCATCTTCACGCGTATCCTTAAACACTGTAGTTGGATGCTTGTATTTCAAATTAGGTCGAACATTATAGTCGTACAAATGATTCTTTGAATAAATTTCACAACCCGAATCACTTGTTAGATTATTTTTTATCTGCAATTCCGACCAAATCGATACAACACATTCCTTCTTATCTTTTCGGTTACAAAACGAGAATGTTTCACAAGGTATATCTTCATTCTGAGAACAGGCACGATAACAGTCACCAAAACGATTGACTCCAGGAATCATGACAGTATGAACACCATCTATTTCATCGAATTGGCTGTTATGATATAAAGATTCAAATGGTATTTTCTGCTTTTTAGCCCCTTCGCTTTGATCAATGACATCGGTTACTTGAAAAGCAACTGCTTTGGCTATTAAATCAAATTTTATGAGATCAATTTCAATGGAATTAATTTAAGCTCAATTTAAACTCAATCTTAGTGATATAAATGATGAACAAAAATACTTACCCTTTTCACCAAGATTCATGTTAAATGTTATGTGTCCAAAGTAACCAAGTATATGATCATGTAAATCTGATAAAGGCTTTTCTCGACCTAATCTATTCAGTTTTTTAAATGGATCGGTGTAAATATAACAGGAAGTTTCCTTGCTATCGTGGTTCATCTCTGTCGTGTTCGTAGTAGTGAAACAAATATTTCCCTTCTGGCAATAGATTATAGCACTTGGAATATTAAATCTAATAAAAAGAAACCAGAATTAAATGTTATGTCAAAAGTCAACATTACTCAAAACAGTAATACTTACGCCCCAGAGGCAACGAATGATGAATGATATTGTAGACACTTCTCAGCGCTACCAGCAACAGTCTCGCGTAATTTGCTGATGGACTCTGGTCTCGCTGATCTAACCACATATGGTAGAACCTCTTTAATAGATGTAAACAGGGAAAAAATCAAATTTAAAATAAAATTTGCAATGGATATCATTCTATAATATCACAATCTTTTGTTTCAGAAATAATTTATTTACCAGAGATTTGCGGGGCTTCGAAAAAAGTAACATCAGCTTCAATCACTTCTTTCTGAAACTTAAAGTCGATATCAGCAACTCGTGTAGTTGATATTCCTAACTGTCCAAGTAAACTTGATCGAAATAGTTCTTTCATTTCATAAACTGAATCTTGTGACTTTTGAATGCATCCATCAGAATCTAATATGTTGGGAATGAAAAAGAGTAAATTAACAAATAACTTTGAACCTCAACATTACCTTTGCATGTTAAATGAAACTTTAAATTCAATCTTTTTTCTGGGTCTTGGAAGCAATCAATCGGTTGCAAGGCTGCATGGTATTCAGACTCAGGTAAATCACTATTGGAATCATAATAATCTCGATGAACTGAATATGCTAAATAATATGAACCCTGCAATATTCAACAGTTAGTTATTTGTAATCATTATGACGTCTAGTCTTACCTTCGAATTTTTTTTGTATCTTTTTACTGAAGCTGCAACAGGACTGTAGCCTTTGAACATATCATTTTGGTACTGAATTAGAGAAAAGAAAATCATTACAAAAAAAAATAATTTGCAGTCGCACTAAACTTACAGATGAACTCATATACTGGGTTGTCACCACTTTATCATATGTTTCGCCGTTTATTACTCGATTAGTTTCAGTGGATTCCCAAACGTGAACATTATAACCTGATCTGTGTTCCTGTCAAGATACAATGTATATCAATTGGACATTAGCCAATTAATGAACTTATTAATTATAACCTGATCTATGCTCCTGTTTAGACACAATCGGTATAAATCGGTCATTAGTCAGTTAATCAAAGTTACGGTTAAACTTACAAATATTATCTCTCCAAGATACTTCAATATCTCGG